AAAAAAAAAAAGTGGGGCCCCTGAGCTCTGCCTCCTGGTATTCAACCCCTTGTATGGTCCCCTTCCATGTTGTACCTGGGTTGGTCTGTGTGGCCAGCAAAATACGGCAGAAATACCGAACTGTTGCCTAACGAGTTGAGATAACAAATGTGATTTGAAGTTTTGGGGTAATTTTTTATAAAACAAAAGGTAACTGGTAGTCCCTCTCTCTGATCATTTGCTTTGGGAGAAGTCAGTGGCTGTGTCATTAGCAGCTCTGTGGGGAGCCCACCTGCTGAGGAACTGAGGCCTTTGGCCAACAGCCACCAGTGATCCTGGAAGCAGAACCTCACCGGTCAAGCCTTCAGATGACTGGCAGCTCCTGCCCACAACATGATTCACCAGAGGCCCCGAACTAGTACTCCAGCTAAGCCACTTCCAAATTCCTGACCATCAGAAACTGCGCGAGGTAGTAAATGTTTGTTGTTTTAAGCTGTTTAGGGTAATTTGCTTTGCAGCAATAGATAACGAACACATGGACACACGGAAAACATTCAGCAAAGCGAAAAGTCCATGAAATTGGGTGAAATATTCCTTAGGAAAAGTATTTGGTTCATGTTCCTGACATGCCCTGAACCTATGTATGGAGTCATTTTTATATTATCATTCATAACAAAAAAGGTCTTTCTTAGCCTTGAGGACAAACTGTGGTATTCCACTAAGTTGAGAATAATGACAGCTACCCTTTATAGAACCTCTTACACGCCAGACGGTGAACTTCTATCATCTTTCACAAGCAGGAAAACTGAAGCCCATTTAGGTTAGACAATTCATCTGAAGACACACAGGAAAAGGCAGAACCAGAATTCCAACCCCGGGGTGTTGGATGTGGGCCAGTATTGGGTACAGCCCTCACAGAGAAATGCAACACAGAGGAGGGACTGTCCAGGTGGAACCAATAACAGAGGAAATACAGGTGTGTATTCCGAAGTCCTCGATATTTCCACTCCATTATCATGGCTTTCCTAATAGTGATCCTTATAACATTAAAGGGAAAATAGGCCATAGTTCTTGTCCTAAGCACAGAGGTCCGTCCGTTCATTGAAGTTAGAAAATTAAAGCACCTTTCTGCCTGCGAGACGGGACAATTCTTCTCTATTTCCAACACGACTCATCCCCATCTCGCTGCTGGCGCTCAATACGTTGGCGGATGATATGAATGCAGCAAGCGTTTCAGCATCTGGACGACCTCCTTGGTGTGGTTTGCAAGAGAGGAGCGTTCCAGCATCTGGGGATCTGGACGACCTCCTTGATGGGGTTTGCAAGAGGATCCAGCTGCACCTCCAGCTGGGGTAGCACTGGAAGATTGAGAAAAGAAAGCCTGGGAGGGCAGGAACGGAAGACAGCAGGATGGAAGCGGCCCCCCGGTCTCTGGGCCAGGGAGCCCCCGGCGGGGCGGAACCACTGGGAGCGGAGCTAGGGCGGGGCGGGCGTCTCGGACCCGGAAGTGCCTGTGCCCTGAACAAAGATGGCAGCCCAGCTCCGCTCGCCCACCTCCCGCAACCAATGGCGCCCCGATGCTCGGCTGACTCACTCGGGCGACCGCTGCGCTACGTCGTATGATGCAACGCCCGGGTCCGGGCAGCTGCGGACGCACGCCGGGGCGATCGGCGGCCGCGGCGTTGAGGTTGATGTCTTTGGAGGTGACCGGGGCGACCGCAGGGATGGTGCTAGGTGGGTACGGCTCGGCGTGTGGCGCGAGGCTCCCCGTCTGGGGCAGGGTCCTGTTCAGCCGGCTTCCGGCGCTTCTTTTTTGGGGGAGGGGGCTTGGAGTCTCACTCGGTCGCCCAGGCTGGAGTGCAGTGGCCGCTCCCAGCCCCCGCGGCCTCGACCTGCTGGGCTCCGGCGAGCCTTCCTCCTCAGCCTTCCAAGCAGCTGGAACTACAGGCGCGTGCCACCACGCCCGGCCACTTTTTGTGGCTTATTGTAGAGACGAGGTCTCACCGAGTTGCCCGGGCTGATCTCGAACCCCCGAACTCAGGCGACCCTCTCGCCTCGGCCTCCCAAAGTGCTGGAGCCACGGGCTGAAGCCACCGGGCCCGGCACAGAGTGGGCCCTCAGCTAGTGTTTGCGGACCCACGGCGGGGAGGAAGGGACCCGCTGCCCCTAGCTAGGCCGGGACTTGATGGGCCAGGCCGGGACTTCCTCGGGCCGTGGGTGCCCCGGGGCTGCGATGACGGCCACTCCGGGTTCTGCAGGCCCCTCGGCGAAAAATCCGGCGATGGCCTAAGACTTACGAGGCGTGAGGGACCCAGGCTCGGGGTCGCCTCCAAATGTCTGATGCTCTCAAGTGATCGCCAGGAAAGGGCTTAGAATTCTAATGCTTTTTCGCCCAGCTTCATTTGTATTCAGATTTCCGGGAAGGCCATACCGTGCATTAGGAGGAAAAAATAAAATATATATATATATATATATATATATATATATATTTGGGAAACCTGAATTGTCACTGTTGGAATCTACTAGTTTTGAGACATTCTGCCATTTTTCTAACCTTAGAGCATCAGTTTCCTTTAAACATCTAGGGAACTGGTGTTTATTTGCTCTCTCCGCCCTAGAATGTCTGATTCATATATGTTATTTTATCCTCAGTACAGGCCTCCAAGATGGGGATTGTATCTCCTCGTCTTATAGACGAAAAAATGAGCTAAGAAAGGTTAAGTACATTCTCCAGGGTTTTGCCTTTTAAAGTTCAACAGCCAAGACGTCAGTGTGGGTCTAGCCAACTTCAAAGCCCTTGCTTTGTTTTTTTGGTGTTCAAGTAGATAGAATAAATAATCACAAAGATTATCAGAATTCATTTTGGAAAGTTGGATTTTTAATTAATATGCTTTTGTGGGATGAATGTCATTGAAATGGGGAATAGGAAGTAATTTGGGTATGAATTTCTTTCTTTTTTTTTTTTTTGAGTTGGAGTTTCACTGTGTCACTCAGGCTGGAGGGCAAGTGGCATGCTCATGGCCACCGCAGCCTCGACCCACTGGGCTCAGGCGATCCTTCTGCCTCAGCCTTCCAAGTAACCGGAACCACAGATGTGTGCCATCACACCTGGCTAATTTTTCTTGATTTATTGTCGAGATACGGGCTCACCAAGTTGCCCAGGTTGGTCTCAAACCCATAGTCTCAGGCAATCCTCTTACCTTGGCCTCCCAAAGTGCTGAGATTATAGGCATGAGCCACCGTGCCTGTCCAGGATATTAATTTCTTACAGATCTTGGTCATTTTTGCTACTTAGATGCCTGTTCCTTTTACATAAGTAAAGAATGAATAAAGTAGTTGCAGCATAAGGTGACTGACGGTTATTGGCTGCAAGTAATTTATTCTCATTTTGTCACACAGCAGAATTGTATGTCTCCGATCGAGAGGGGAATGATGCTACGGGAGATGGAACCAAGGAGAAACCATTTAAAACAGGTTTAAAGGTAGTGCCTCTTCTCAGTAAGAACGTGACTCTGCGATTGTTAATGACTTATGTCAATTATTGTGGACTTGTCAAGAGTTTTGCTTCAAGCACTAGGTTTTGAAGATAATATTTAGAAAAGGGAAAATAAGGAATGTATACACATGTGTAGCTTTGAGACTGTTAGAGCATCAAACTCTAAACTTGTTTGAACATTTTAAAAAGTTACCTTTTCTTCCTGATCACGTGGCATTGCATCATGGTCTTTTTCCCTCCTATGAGTCAGATTGCCTGTTTTTCAAGTCTTGTAAGGATAAAAATCCTTCCTCAGTCACATCAAGTTCATTGCCAGGTGACTCCTAAGAGAACTTTGTTGAACTTACCACAATCCAGAGTGTGATCCTAAGCCTTGAGATTCAAAGACCTGATTTATATCATCATACCAAGAATGGACCTATTTCTCAGAGCACGTTCATGAATCTGGAGCTTGAAGCTAGAATGCCAGGGTATTGATGTGCTGTTATTTCTCAGGACCTAGAATCCTCGAATGAGTTTAGCAGATTCTCTCTAAGCGGCCTTACATGAAAAGCCACATAGAGGTAGATCAAGGGATTCTTTGAGAACTTGGACTCACATCGAAGATGTTTGGTAACTAATTGTATCAGGTTAAGGTGTGGCCCAAGACAGCCTTCTTAGAGTAGCTGGTGGACTTAACTGCTGAACTTGACGCTGGGATCCATTGGCTACAACTGCCAGGCAAGAAAGATGGTTATAATTCCTTCCTTGGACCTTTTTAGGAAAGGCAGTGCCCCGAGCCTCTTCTTTTCTGTGCTTTCTTGCCTGGCCAGTCCTCCCCTTTTTTTAAAACAAAAAATTATTTTATTTTTTGAGTTGGAGTCTCACTCCGTCGCCCAGACTGGACTGCAGTGGCACGCTCCCGGCCACCGCAGCCTCAACCTGCTGGGCTCCAGCGATCCTTCCGCCTCAACCTTCCAAGTAGCAGAACTATAGTCGGTACCACGCCTGGCTAACTTTTTTGATTTATTGTAGAGACGAGGTCTCGCCAAGTTGCCCAGGCTGGTCTCGAACCCGCGGGCTCAGGCAATCCACTCACCTCAGCCTCCCAAAGTGCTGGGATTACAGGCTGAGCCACTGAGCCTGGCCAAATTTTTTTATTTTAAAGATGTGGGGTGCAATGGATTAGGTATACAAGTGGTCATCTTACAGGTAAAGTTTGGGCCTCCCTTTTGTCCCCCCTTTGCCTGGTTTGAGGTGTTTGAGATCAGCCCTCCTTTGTTAAATAAACGTTACAATATATGTTTAATTATTATCAAGTCCTCCTAAACTGGGAAACATCTCCCTTTTAGGTCTTATGCTTTGGTGTGCCATACATAGGTCTTACCTTTTTTTTTTTTTTTTTTTTTTGGT